AAGAGAGAGAGAGAGAGAGAGAGAGAGAGAGAGAGAGAGAGAGAGAGAGAGAGAGAGAGAGAGAGAGTGTTGCTGTGTGCCGCGGCGTAGCCGTGGCGGGTTCCACTTGTATATATATATATTTCTTCTTCTACTTCACATGCTCATGCTCTTAGTCAATAGTTCTATGACAATATATATATATCGTCACAAACAGAATTGGCCGGTAAACCGTAGGCAGAGAGAGAGAAGAGGACAACAAACGAGGGGCTGTGACAAACTGTTTCGTCGGAGTTTCACCGACTCATCGCCCCTGTGTGTGTTGTTGTAAGGCATATGTGTAGGCTTCATCGACCACTTTTGAAACATTATGACAAATACAGTCATGAGGAAGATTGGTATACATAGTTGTGAAATCAACAGTGCGAGGAGCATGGTCACGAAGAGAAGAGGAGTTACGTTTGAGATCAAGCATCACCTCCTCAGCGCTTTGCACGATCCAGCACCGTCTCACACCGCTTTGCTGATACAACACATTATCCTTGTCACGGAGAGTTTCAATGACTCCTTGTAGTGCAACGCTGAGGCAGGCAGAAGTGACGGTAGTACTGGCCAAGGGTTTGTGGGGAGGTCGACCCTTAACATGATTGTTAAAGGGCCCCGTCAAGGGGAGTGGACGGTTGATACCGGACAAAACACCTCGACCGTTTCCCGAATTCTTGAACATCTCCATTTCATTGTCACAAACACTTATCTTTATGCAGCGGACGACACCTTGCGACATCAGTTGATTGGCATCCCGATGGGGATTAATTTTGGTCTGGAGATAGCTAATTTGACGTTGTATTGGGATGAGGCTCGATTTGTTGATGACCTCCACCGGCGTGATCTTCGTGCAGCTCAACGGTATGCGTTCACATACCGCTTGATCGATGTTCTCTCATGGGGACATCTGCCACCATCGTCAGAGCACTATGGCCTCGAATGGAAGGAGACCACAACGCCTGATGGCTCTTGCACATTCTTGGGTGCACGCCTCCAAGTCCGCCCTGACGGCTCCCTGCGTATGAGTGTCTTTGACAAAGCAGCTGAATGGAATTTCCCTGTTATTCGTTATCCTAGTGCTACATCTAACGTSCCTGCACACCAGCCGGCGGGAGTGTTTACAGGCCAGCTTACTAGGTTTGAGTATGTCTGCAACAACTGGTATGATTTCAAAACTGCAGCAGCGATGCTCACACGCCGGATGCTTTTTCGCGGGCACTCTCCAACAACGCTTGCGAAAGGATGGACTTCCTATATTCGTAAACGTCAACACAGGTACCCTGCGCATGTGACCCGCCTCTCCAGCTGGTTCCGCAACATGCTTCAATGGTCTATTCATCACCCGCTTTCTCGGGTTTGTACACACTGTCCTCGGACTACGCCTGTCACAGCCCCTTCTTCATTATCGTCGCCTGTCACACCTATCACAGCCTCTTCTTCATTACCTGCGTCTGCAGCACCTGCGTCGTCAACAGTCTTAGTAACCTCTTCCATGCAGTTTGTGACCTTGGCTGCCCCTTTTCGGTTCGCAGCCTCTTCCTCATCAGCCTTGGTTGCTTCTACGATTGATTCCGCGGGACCAACTCGACCCGCAGCTGCTGTGTCGCCCTTGGTCTCGGTGTGTTCCTCCATGGCATCCGTGGCCACCGCAACCGTTGTGTCGCCCTTGGTCTCGGTGTGTTCCTCCATGGCATCCGTGACCAMCGCRTCTGTTGTGYCGCCCTTGGTCTCGGTGCGTTCCTCCATGGCATCCGTGGCCATGCCTGCATTACCACCTGCAGAGTCCCCTCTYCGGGTCTCACCTACGACTGCCCCCCCTGTCTCTGCTTCAGCCACTTCACCACCCCTGACTTCATCCCCCCCGTCTTCATCGCCTTTATTTCCCCTGGTTTTATCGCCGTCTATTACCCACCTTCCGACTACTCTACCACCCCTGTCTTCACCACACCTACCTCCCTTGGTTTTGTCTCCATCTGTTACCCCTCTTCCTAATCTAGAAACCACTTCGTCCACACAGACTCCGTCATCATGTTCTGCCCCTGCAGAAAGCCTACTTCGCCGTCCAAGACGCCGACTTTGACCTACTTCCCAACCTCAGCTTACTCCCCTTTCCTCCATCTCTGTTCTTGGACGAAGAAGAACCCGTTCATTCTCCCCACTACGGCCCTCCCCAACATCCCGTCCCCGTCTTTTGCCGCCCCAAGCATCCTTACCATGCCTGCAACGCTCTTCGACTGCAGATCTTTCTGCAACGCGGCAAACACAAAACGGGAGGGATGATGGCGAGGGACCATCTGAGGATGAACTTGGCAAGGGGACTGTAGGAGATTCTGTAGAAAATCCGCCTAACCGGCCTCCACCGAATCTGTGTGGCCTGGCTGCTACTAACATCTGCCTACAAGCCTATCGTCGAGAACCATATACTCACGCTGATTTCTTGGCCATTGCTTCCGATCTTGATGCTCAGGAACGTGAGTTATATGGCGATAACCCGACTCTGCATCCCCCACAGGATAGTAATTACACTCGACATGGGGGATTCAATGTCTCTGTTTCGGAGACTGCTTTGATAAGGGGCCGACTTGATATGCAGCGTGCCCCTTCGGGTGGCGACCGGACCACTGTTCGCACGTTTGTGCCTATATTCTACATTCTCCTGGCCACTACACCGCTCTTGTCCGTGCCTCTGGTTCTTGGGAATTATGGAATGGCGGTGCTATGGTGCAAACTATTAYTGCCATCTGTGATCTCGTGCGTAATTACCCTAACCTGCAACTGCTCCAGGTCATTGACCCTATGGGTACCTCGTGTACTTCCATGCCTGCCTCTACGCCTATCTTTGTGCCTGCCTCCGTACCTGTCTTTGTGCCTGTATCTATGTCTGTCTCCTTCCAGATTAATGACCCTATAGGTACCTCGTGTACTTCCGTCCCCGCCTCTGCACTTGTCTCTGTGCCTGCCTCCGCACCTGTCTCCATGCCCGTTTCTGTGTCTGTCTCCATGCCCGTTTCTGTGTCTGTCTCCATGCCCGTTTCTGTCTGTCTCCATGCCCGTTTYTGTGTCTGTCTCCGTGCCTACCTCCATGTCTGYCACCGTGCCTGCTTTRGTCTTCATTCCCCCGCATGCTGCACTAACACCTTGTGACCTCCTTCTTTGTGAGATCACTAACACAGTTACACTTGGTTGTGGAAAGCATCGACTTTGTCGACATCACTACAACCATATAATTTTTTGGGCCCGCTGTCGGCAGGAATGCCACCTGTATCCGGATTGTGAACATCCTCTGCATCCAGATGCAATATGTCCCGTCTGTGCCTACGGGCGCTATAGCGAATGTGCACTTAATTGTGATGGTGAACGCCCCACAATGGTCATGGCCTGCAATCGGCATGCCCTCTGCCGTGCATGCTTCAGAGGTATGGTCGATGCTAGCCGTCCTGGTTCCTGCTGTGACAAAGTTGCTTACCTGAATGGTTTTCGTCCTATAGATCAGCAGGCGGGCTGCTACCATCGTCCGCATCCTTATGATAGTTGTCCTATCTGTCGTGAGGGTCTTACTTAGACGTACCTTGCGCCCTGACAAAAATGTGCAGGTGCGCTGAAAAGAGTGTACAAGAATGTGCAAAGGTGGGAAACCCTTCACTAAAACTGCAAAACAGTGAAGACTRCAGTAAAAGAAGAACATAAGTTTGTGTCGTTTTACTTTGTTTGTACCCTGCACCCTAACACCCTCAAAGAAAAAGTCCGAAGGGTGAAAATGAGAATAAAAAATGAAGAAGGAAGTGCAGGTGCGCTGAAAAATGAACGTGTTAGACTCTTCACCAAAACTGCARAACTGTGAAAGAAAGAAGAATGCCCTAAAAGAAAGAAGATGTTTGTGTCACCCTTATTTTATTTTTATTTTTTCTCCCTCTGCCTATCGATTTTCCTTTTCTGCTCCTCTCTCTTGTGTTTGACACCTCTTCCTTCACTCTGCCTCTTTCCCATAGCGTGCAAGTGGGCTGTTATGGCATACGGGGATGGTGGCTGCTCGCGCTCAACTTCTTGTACGTTAGAGGCACAGTGGAGGAGACGTTAAGAAGACTGAGAAACTGAATGATTTCAATGTGTCTTTGTTTTTTATTTTTATCCTTTGATTCAGTGTAAATACTGTTTGTAAAACATTGAAAGAAATAATAATACTGCGAAGCGAAGTGTCATTCTGGTTTGTTTGTCTCTTTGCCTGTCTGTCCTTTCATTTTTCTTTTCTTTGCTCATCTTATTTCTTCTTCTACTTCACGTGCTCATGCTCTTAGTCAATAGTTCTGTGACAGTATATATATATACAGGGTTACCTGACCGAACGTTCGGGGGGCCCCGGGCTGGCCCCCGGGCGTTCGGGGTCCCGTTCGGGGGTCGAACACCTCCAGGTTCGGCCCCCGCCAAAAAAACTTTCGGGGCCTAAAAATAAGTTTGTTTTCCTGAAGTTTTTTTTGTGAGTTCTCTATGATGTAACCTACACGCCTATAAATTTTGTAGCCATTCTGCTAAGTCTAAAAAACATTAAAAATCGTCAAAGATGGGGGTGTCWAAACGTGCTCGCCCACTCACTATTTTGTTTTTTTTTCACTTTAAACTTTTTGTTTTCACTTTATTTCGGGGCTTAAAAAATTTTATTATTTTCTGAAACTTTTTTACTGAGTTATCGATTATGTAAACTACATATCTGCAATTTTTCAGGGCATATGTCAATGCCAAAAAATAATTAAAAATCGGCAAAGATGGCGGGGTCGAAAAGGTGCTGGCACGCTCACTCATTTTAATTCTCTTTTTTTTTTTTTATCATAGTGTTTTTTTTCTGTATCTGATTTTTATTTCAAATTTGGTAAAGAATTTGGGTGTAGTGCTCAGGCAAATGTTGTTTAGTTTATTTTTCTCCATAACATATTTTTTTTTCCGGAATTTTTTGAAAACTTGTTTTTTTTTTTGTTTTTTTTTTTGGGTCCGCGTTCGGCCCGAACGGTCGAACGCCTTCCGAAGGGGTCCCGTACGTTCGGGCGTTCCGGTTCGGGCGTTCGGCCCGTCCCGAACGCCGGCAACCCTGTATATATATATGTGACGATATATATCGTCAAATAGAATATATATATTGACGATATATATATATAGCCCCTCGTTTGTTGTCCTCTTCTCCCTCTCTGCCTACGGTTTACCGGGCAGTTCTATTTGACGATATATACTACGACTTCGCTAGCTTCCTGCTACGGTTTTCTCCG